TTATCATATAGATTCTCAGCTGTCTCAATTCTTATACGTTATTGTCTTTTAAATATTTGGTTTTGAGCGTTTCTAGTGAAGGTAAATCCTGAAAAGCGCTTCGGACAAATGAAATTATTTAGTGTTATTTTCATTTTTATAAACTGTTTTTGATTGAGTGTCCTTATTTCAACTGATGTATACTGTACACTGTTTTTTTTAATTTTAGTTTACTGAATTCAACTGACAAAAATCAAAATGAGACATTTCAATTGGAAATTATATTATGTTTTTATGTATTCCAAATTGAATGATAAATACATAATTAAAAAATATATTCTTTGCTCAAATTACAGAACGTAGATAAAAAAAAATAATCATCTACATGTAATATAAACATGCGTTGGGTTAACAACTAAAAACAGACCGATTAACCATCACGTTTATTTTTTGTATGTGTAACGAGGCTTGCGTTGCTTTACATCGAGGCCACAGTAATTCAACCAATCGGGGAATGTTTATTTGGGGCATGTGACCTATTTTAACTGCAGGTTTTAGAATATTTTAATCGAAATTATAGAAAAATGGAATGTTGTTAGTACATATAAAACAGAAAATGATGAATACTTTTAGCAAAAGATAAATTGGATCGGGGTTCTGTGTATTGACATTATTTGTACAACTCTCCTTACTGATGCCATATTTTGGAATTTCTGTGACCTAAATGGTTCGCGAAAATTAATATTTTTATATATAGTATGGTAACTATTTTAAAACAGTGGCACATAATCATTTAATGTGACAAGTTTGTTATCGTCAATATAATCATAAACTAAAGAATAATGATACTGTAAGCTTGTACACATCGTTTTTAATATCAGAAGTATATTTTTGTTTGTCAAGTTTTTGTTTATACTCATGTTACTGCATAAAATGTTTTTTCCGAACACGCCAAGCGAAGCATATGGAATACAGATGTTGGTTCGTCCGTCTAGTCTGAAAGTGTTCTCATGCCTAGTTCTCATCTCATTACAAAAGAATTTCATTTCCGATATCAAAATAGTCAGACCTTTCTGTTTGCAAACAAATTACGTGTAAAGTCCGTGGTTTAATTTCTTTATTTAAACGAATGCCACATGCAATATTTATTTCTGGTATTCTGTAAGTTTATGTCTTTATTGTAATTGTCGGCAAGGGACATTAACTACTCCGTAGTAATCTTATTTTACTGATAAATGAATATTATGATATAATCTATAAACGATAGTGTAGAAATGTCTGTAGTGATGTCGCTTTAATCATATACATATCTAAATTGACATATTTTAGAAATTAAGTTATTTCACCCACATAAACATCTATGGAGAAAACTTTGTGTAGTAAATTAGCAAAATATTTTTTTTTTTGGTAATGCTGGTGTTTTCTTCTTATTATCAATTACAAGATTTTATGAAAGACTATCCGCAGTTTATATGTATCAAAAGGGATGCAAGAAGTAAGTTTGTCAGAAACGATGAAACAAAATTAAATTCTATTATTCTTATAGACAGTTTATATTGTAAATATCTGAAAATGTTATATGATAGAATTACAAAAGCTTATTTATTTTCGAATACACGGTGCTGCTAATATGGAAATATCACAGCTTCTTTCTGTATGAAAGTATTCTGTTTCCAAAATTAATAAAGTTAGGAAAATAAAGACGATCTTACCACATTGCCTAATTCATTTGTACAATACAATACAATACAATACAATACAATACAAATATGTTCATTGTAGTGACATTGTGTATGACAAAAATATGTACAATATTGAAATATTTCAATTAAATTACACCCGGCCCAATGGACCTATAAGTCACTTTAAATAGATACTAGTATTAATTCAGATTGACATCAGGGAATTTATATACATGTTAATTGTTTAAATATAAGTGTTCTCTGTGTTTTGTTAATAACTGTTCTAAGTATCGAGCTGTTTTTCGAGGATATTCAGACAAAAATAAATTTAACTTTTCACTGTTATTCAAATTCAATACGGTTTCACTAAGTCCAGAGAATAATTGATTGCGTAGACCACTGTAAAATTGGCATTCAACCAGAAAGTGTAGTTCATTTTCAACGTGTCCGAATTCACACATTCTGCAAATTCGTTGGTATTCTGACTCACCAACAAAACGTCCTGTTTCCAATCTTAGTGGGAGAAAACCAAATCTAAATTGTGCCAGTACTGATCGATCTTTCAATACGTTTTAAATTGACTTTAATATACGATTCTGTTGAATATGTAGATTTAAAGGTTCTATATGTACGCAGTTTCGGAAAGTTAGATAAATTTGTGTGCCGTTTTGTTGCACATATATCCAATAGATTGTTTCTGACAATGTTAACATCACATTTTAGCATTTGGTGAAAGTTATCATCCATTCTAACTAAAGACATTATTGTTCTTACACTAGATGGCAAATTGTTTGTACATAGTTCGTTGTTTCATAGGAACACTTTTTTACAAAGTCTAGTATTGTCAATATCCATCATTCGGGTCCAGTACCTTACCATATTACACCAGAGACGTTCTTTTGAAGGTAACCATCCAACATCTTCGTTGATAGCTAGCTTTGGAGCAAACTTGTGAACTCCTAAAAAGTATCTAATGGCCTTGTTTTGAACAGTGTCGACACAGTTAAAGTCTTAATAACCCCACACCGAAGAACAGTAGTCGGGTATAGACACAATACAAGAACTGTACAGTTTTTCATAAGTCTTTATGCCAAATTCTTTTAAACTGTGTATCTTCGATATAATAGCTCCGAGTGCTCTTCCACCAGCGGTAGAAATATTTTCAGCGTTTGATGTATAGTCTTTTTTCTCACTGAAAATAACTCCAAGATATTAATATTTGTCTGTAATTTGCAAAATATTTCCTCCGATTCTGAACTGAAATTCACTCCGTTTTTACGAGAAGCTCTGAAATACACATTTTGACTTGTCTGTATTTATTAAGACTCTCCATTGTTTGCACCAATCATGTAATTTATCAATAAAATTGAGAATGGAAATGGGGAATGTGTCAAAGAGACAACAACCCGACGAAAGAGCAGAAAACAGCCGAAGGCCACAAATGGGTCTTCAACACAGCGAGAAAATCCTGCACCCGGAGGCGGGCTTCACCTGGCCCCTAAACAAAAATGTGTACTAGTTCAATGAAAATGGACGTCACAATAAACTCCAAACCATATAAATGAACTAAAATTAAAAAACATACAAGACTAACAAAGGCCAGAGGCTCCTGACTTGGGACAGGCGAAAAATGCGGCGGGGTTAAACATGTTTTGTGAGATCTCAACAGACATGCCAGCTCCAGACCTCAATTAAACTGATTGAAAGATTATGTCTTCATCATATGAAAATCAAGCACAATCCTCCCGTTTGCATATCACATTCATTCTCGGTCATCAAAACAATATCGTCCGCATATAAAAGTAAAGACAATTTTGATTCTCAAATTTCTATACCAAGCCCAAGTTCATTGATTTCATCTACAAGATAATCAATAAAAATAGAAAATAATGTCGGAGATAAATTATCACCCTGCTTTACACCAGAGTTACGTAAAAGCCAATCGGACATTTTATTGTTTAATTGAATACTTGCAGTTGTTTGCACATATAAACTTTTAAAAGAGTTGTATATTTTCCCACCAATATTGTTCAACAACAGTTTGTACAGCAATATATCACGATCTACGAAATCAAAAGCATTTTTTAGATCAACGAATGTAACAATAACAATTAGATTCTAACAACTAAGGACTTATAATCGGTTGTTATGAAACAGGAAATGATATGCCATATGAAATTATAATACTCGTAATAAACAAAAATTGTTCTACACATGTACAAATATGTCGAACTTTTGACGACTGTGACCCGAAAAGTAAAAAAAAAAGAGTTAAGAATTGGTTAAAAAAAAACGTTAGCTTAATTCTTATATCGTAGTTATAGATTGAAGTGAAATCTTGCAAAATACCTTTTCAATAGGTACTAACATATTTCAGTATAACGACAGAATTATCAACCACAACTACCAACTTTTGTTTTATTTTTTCAGGCCACAGCACTTTGTGGTTTTGTTTTATTGTTAGTAGTCGTCTCCGTTTTTTCTCAATCACTGAATCAACACAGAGGACGTAAGTATTCTTGTAAAACACGTAAAATTACAATGTAATAGTATTCATTCAAATAAAACAGTGTTTTTTATGATAAAAGAATTTACTTTAACCCTATTTATCTGCTTATTGAAATCACAGATCATGGATATGGACTTGTCATCGAAAACATGGAAATTCTCGTGTAAGAATTACTTCTAGAAAATTCAAAACGCAATTTATCAATATTATTCTGTTAAGATTTACAGTTTTTGTTTGATAAAGCAAAGAGTATTGTTTTATCAGTAAAAATAATTATGGAGAAAAAAACAATAACAAAATGGCAATAACAAATATCGAGTACAATAGATTCTAGAGGTCGAAATAAAAAAAAACAAAAATATAAATACTCTAAAGAGCACATGACGCTCACCTGCATCTATTTGAACCTTCAACAATGGCCGTTCAGTAACATTTTAGACTACAATGCAGTTCATTAATAAAATAAAACCACTGGCAGGTTTCATCCACCATTTTCTACATATTCCTGTACCAAGTCAGGAATATGCCAGTTGTTTTCCATTCGTTTGATGTGTTTGATCTTTTGATTTTGCCATTTGATAAAGGACTCTCCGTCTTGAATTTTCCTTGGAGTTCGGTATTTTTTGTTATTTTTCTTTTTTCTTGTTGATGTTGTTTCGCTGTTCACCTAAAATCAGTCAAAAATCGTAATTTACGGGGAATAATTTCTTGAAGAGTAATCCAATGGTTTAGGTCATGTCGTATTTGTGTAGATCTTGTATTGCTGATCGCTTTTACCTGTATCAGTTTCTAACTATCTAATTTAGTTTTTTGAGATAATAAGCGAAAACATGAAAAACAAGCAGTCATCACTTATTCTGATAATTTTGGTGGAAATAGAAAGTATGTAGTTTTTCACGATCTGAACATTTTTGCCCCATCGGAAATCTCTATATATATATATTGGTTTTATCAGATATAAGACAATTAGTGCAATTTACCGTTATGTTCTATTTTTAGTTATGGCGGCCATGTTTTTCACTGCCTAAAACACAAACTTTATACTAGATACCCTTAGTATCGTGCACCTCGAGTTTAGTTTTATTGAAGATGTTTTTGACAAATTTTACGACAACGGATGCTTAGTGATGGCAATTGCTTACTTGCCGTTACGGCCAGTGGAGCTAAAGAGGAAGAAAATAACAAGGACGTGCAAATGAAATTGGAAGTCATTTACATACAATGTTATATCACTCTCCGAACATAGAGAGTGAGAGTTTATTCGGCAGTAGTAATCAGTTGTGGAGAAAGGATAATTATAAAGTGCAATTGAGAACTATCAAATAAAAAAAAAGAATAAGAAATAGACTAAAATAAAATATAAAAAGATAAATTACTTTAAAACATGACAAACGCAAACGCGTCATATTTGCAACAACGGTATGTTGTAATCCCTTGAGAACTGGATAGTTTCAGCCAGTTTATTAAAAACGTAAATCTGTAAAGATTACACATATACTTAATGAAACAGAATTTCAGGAAAATAACAATTTTACTGCACCAGATGTTCATTTCAACAATAAGTGTCTTTTCAGTGATGCTCGAGGTAAACATATTTCAATATCCAAAACTTATTTAAAACGTTGAAAAGCTGATTATAAATTATAAATTTACATCTATCTACACGTTAGTTATGAACTATAATGACAAACAAATATTGCTGTCCAGATGAAAGAGGCAAAACTAAGAAATATCTTCAATTTGCAAAACAAATATCACCATGGAGATCAATCTATTCTTCAGTGTTTAACTAAAAATGTAAAGGAAACGTAATATCGAATGTTAACTTTATTCATTTTTTCCTGCTGTTAGCAGGAAAATAACAAGCAATTAAACATATTAGTATAATCATTTATAAACTAATCTATTTATTGTACAATTTCAGCATGGCAAGTTGTTTTTAAGATCCCAGCTGGTAAGCGACCAACAGGATACAACAGTATAATGGATTTCTGGAAATCGTCTGTAGCATACAATGATGGCAATGTTCATGCAATGAATGATTTCTCGTCTTCTAGTGAAATCTACAAATCCAGTATTTTGAATGATTGGGCCTTACAAAGTATATCGGCCGTAAGTTTTTATGTGTATATTTTTTTTCTGTTTAAGATACCATGTGAACTATTTTATTATAATGTATAGAGAATGAGTGATACGATTCGGTTGAAGGGTTAATATATTAATTATACTGCGCTAGCCTGCGACTGCTGTTTAAATTCTAAAAGGAATAGTTGTTCGCAATATTCATTGAATAAGCCATTTTATTGTTTACATATACAATGTTACTTACGTTATTGATATTGCACTCGTGCAATACAGTATTATGGTTTATTTCACGCAAACATTTTAATGGAATTGTTACGCCATTTTTAGATTAAATCGGTCGAGGTACAGGTTAACCTCAGTTAATGAAACAGTGATTGCGCACATAACTTCGTTCTGTATGATATTTTGCTCGGAATAATCAGAGATTGTCCTGATTATCTTCCTGTATCAGATCCAAATCATAGGCTAGGTATACATGGATACAGGACTAGGGGGTCTTCAAATTTACAAACAATATTATGCAGAACAAGTTATTACCAGATGTCATTTCTACCAGCCGTTGTAAACCTTTGGAATAATAGCCCAGACGACATTCGTTTAAATCAATCAGAATCTGGTTTTAAGACATATCTCTTTCAAAATATAAATAAATCCCCTTGTATTTTCACCTAGGCTGTAGAAGAGAACAGATATGTTTTGCAAGACTCAGACTCCAGAGTAGTGTTCTAAGGGACCATCTATTTAAAAAAAAATGATCGAAAACGAACTGTGTTTCTATGGTCACGAAGAAACTACATCTCATTACTTCCTCAAATGTCCAAAATATAATGAAATTCGAAGGGATAGTATCGGGACAGTCTTTTGTATTAACCTTAAAATTATCTTATATGGAGACAGCTTAAAGTCTGATGATGACAATAGGCAAATATTTCATAAAGTTTCTAAATATATAAATAAAACAAAACGTTTTGAAAGTTTTATTAGTTATATTTTTTGTTGTCAAATCTAGTGGATTGTTCGTAATCGACTATAATCGGACATGTATGGTGGTTCCAGTGACTGTCTATCAAAGAAACAAAAAATAATTGCTTCAATGTTTTTTATTTGTTTGTTTATTTTTTCTTTTTTGTATTCATTTAGATTTATTATATGTTACCTTAAACCGAATATACTGTTGGCACGTCATATTGTTTGTTGATTAGATTTATTTACTTTCGGGGGACGGATTCATAAAAGTTTTTCCAAATTTGTTTTCGAATCCCATATTTGAATTTTATGTAATCTTGTACGACTTCATTATTATAATTTTTCATTAATAAATACTGTTTAAACTAACCTGTTAAATGAAAAAGCGCAAATGTAATAACATAATGCGCGCAACCGTTAATGTAATAAATCCCCACAAGTAATGCGCCCGCCAGCCTATACTGCAACTTCCATTCAGTGACGTCATAGTTCCCCCAAAAAGTTCCCATGAAAAAAGACAACGAGGGAAAAATAAAGGAATATGACATATGAACAAAATCTTTCATTTTAATAAATTCATCCCCGTCTTAAAAAACAACCACCTGCAAAGAAAATCATTTTTTTTATATTAATCTTATAAATGTGTGGAACCATATTCTCTCATCCTTTACCAATTCACATAAACTGGCAATGGTATTTATCATAATTATGTCGTTTATCAATTCATTTAAAAACAAGAAGATGTAAAATTACAGCATACCCGGTTAAATGTAAAAAAACTAACTTGACTTCAACATTAACAACTTATAAAAAGTTGAAAAGTATTGGTAGAACGGATTTCAAGTAATTGTTTCGAAACAGCTGGTGCCCCAGTCGCCCGTTGAAATACCCAAAATTAACATATGTTATATGTATTTTTGGAAACCCCTCTTAAAAAGTGAATTTCAGATTGCGATTCTAGAAATTGTTAAGCAGTTATGCTATGAAAAGGTGTATGAATATTTTCCCCTTGAATTAGTTTTACGCAAATCCAAAAACTTGTTGAAACCAAGTTTAATTTGACTTAAATAATTTAGCAACACTTTACTCATAAGTTCGTGACCCCAAAAAATCAATGATCATTGCTAAACATAGATATTAAAGATATTAAAGATAATTTTGAAAATTTATATATAAAGTGTGAGGCTCAAACTCTTTATAATAAAATATTCATATCATCCGATCAATACCTTGTCAAATCCGTTTGGCTTACTCCTTGACCATCATATTTGGAGATTATTTAAAATGTGGGCAGATCTTTCGATGAATATATATATATATATGTATGACACACATCATTTACAGTATCATTTAAGATTTGTGACTGATTTTCATGTCAGCTGGACATGGAAATATTCTTAGCGCATGCGCGACTCGAATATTTCCAAGTTCCTTCCTTGTTAATTGGTTCAAATCCTAAATCATACTGAAAAATAACTAAGTCTTTGATTGCACATCCCTTTTTAACAGTTTAAAACGTTTAAAATAAGCCGATGAAATCCTTTTTCACTTCGAAATTTTCAGTGATTTATATATGTCTCTCATCCGGCGATAAAACTTGTGCTAAAGAAAGGCTTCTGTTTGGCTGTGTGGGATTTTAAATAAAAAGACACTTTCTGTTTGATTGTGGACCTCGTGTAAGAGGATTCTATTGGATAAGGGACTTTCCGTTTTGAATTTTCCTTGGAGTTCGTTATTTTTGTTATTTTTACTTTGGATCACCTCTTTGAAGGATGCCCTGTTCCAAGACACTATTTCTGCTCCATACGAACTACCTTCGTTTTTCAGTGGCATTTTATATTTTCAACCCTTTATCCTGGTCCGACCACTTCGGAGACTCTATAACATATTATTTTTTTCTCGGACCGAATATGAATGATATATTCGCCTTTAAACGTTAGGTAAACAAGATTCAATCAATCGTATTATATATCAAACTTTAGAAAGTATAAATTATAATGCAAACAAACAAACATGTCTTTCGGAACAAATCGTTGTTACTACTTATTTAAAAAAAAAACAAAAAAAAAAAACAACAGGTCAACTTTGGTATTTTCTGCAATTTGCAAACTTTGAAATTAACAAATAAAAAAAAATGTTGAAGATAAAATCAAGTTTTTAAAGTTCATGTTTTTTTTTCTAAACTGTCTTGGTATATATTACACTCTAATTTGATACCATGTAATTATCTCTGTCAGTAACTAGGCATAGTAAGCATCAAAGATTTACAAAAGATAAACATGTTTTATGGTTTAGGTTAGATTATCAGCTTATAAAAACAACCAAGAACAGGGCTTCGTCGTATTTGATGCAATGGGAAAAGGAAAGAACGACTGGATGGATTGCGGAAACATTCTAGATTCATCTTGGACAGATATAACATCAAAAGGAAAAAACTTTTGTGCATTCGAGTAAGTCCTTTCATTTTGACATATACTCTTAACGGATAGACAATTTCAGCTATAGGATAACTTTTGGACTTTGCAAACGTTAGTTATAGTATAGTATTAAATGCTAAGAACAACTGAAAACACACGGAGAATTCAACACATATTTTTGTTATAACAAGTAGGAGATATTTTTGTTGTCAAAATTTGGGCCTCAGCATTACTAAATTCATTAAAATAATCGCTATTTGAAAAATAATGTTTAATAAGTAAGCTTCAAAAGCCGTTAAAAATTATTAGGAATATTAAAAAGTGTCAAGAATCAATTCACCACCCGCAAATTTCGCTGAGAATAGTAATTCAGAATTATGTCTTTAGGAGGAACGCGTGGTATCTTTGAATTTTCGGGATTTTCAGGGATGCTATCCTTTTTAAATTTTCAATGACGGAATGCAGTATTTTATATCATAAATATATATAGAATAACCACAGGTGTTACTCATAAGGAGGCTCAAAAAAAAGAAAGGGATTTTTGTCTACTTTTATCGACGTTATCGGTTAGATCCAGTCATTCGAAATACTGAAATGCTCTAGTATACACGCAACGAAAAACCGCCAATGTTCTTGTGCTGTAAAGTTTCCAAAACTAAATATTGATGACATGATTTCATGGCACGATTTCATGGCCGAATTCCGCAAAAAAAAAAAAATCCATATTAAGATGGCAATATAATAAATTGAAAGCAAATACTTTGTATTTTCATGTAAATATTTTCATGGACCATAACTGGACTTCTGGCTCCTGGCTGAATGTGACTCGATTAAGAATGTTTGTGATCAGTCAACCTTCTCCTAGCCTTAGACAGTAGTGTACCGCACAACAGTAGAACTTAAGTCATTATTTCTTGTTTTATTGCTCTAAACCTTTTCTTTTCTGATTCTTCATCCATTTTTGAAAATCTCGGTTTTAAACACCACAGCCAAAAGTATACAAAAGTTTGATTTCATAACGTTTGTTTATCCAAAAGAGTTGACAGAAAGATAATCAATAAAAAAAAATTCAGAATCCTTGTTTTGTAACAGTTTTTAATCGTCTTACAAATTTATGGCTCCTTTTTTGAAGAATATACGTTATTATTTGCAGATAATTTAACTTATTCAAAGTTCAAGTGCTTATAATAGGTATTCCAACTAAATTTTAAAAGTTTATAAAAGGAATAGCAAAATAGTGTTAATAAATAGCATTCTGCATCAAAAAATACATTACGACTATTTAAGATCTATCATTCTGTTCCTCCACATATATTTCTAATTTTTCATTGTTGGTTCATTTCTGTTGGGTACCTGTAACAAAGAGAACAACAACCATATATGTAAAACACATACAGTTTGTTTTTACCAATACGAATATCACTTGAAACGACTAAAACTGATGATTATGGAAAATCAAACAATTTTAGAATTTCATCGCCTCAACCCACATCAACATATTACAAAACTTATATAATACTGTTAGAATATGATACAACATTTACCCTGAACAGTGCTTCTTTTTGCGAGCTGCATAGGAAATCCCTCAAAAGTTACCAAACACACGAAATTCGGTCAAAAAATTTGGATACAATTTTCTGTTGGGATGCCTACCAATACCTTGATTTGATTAATTATAGGAAACATTTTGTACCACTTCAATCGATATCAAGTATTCTTTGACAAAACTTGAATGTTATGAGAACATTACTTGATGCATGATTCAAATTTATAAAATGTATCGAGCTATTTCAATCTGTGTTTAAACTAAACTAGTTTATTCATACCACATCTTCTTATTTATATAGTCATTTACATCACTTTTCGTGTACGAGTAAAACGTAACTTTTTGATATTCAATTTAGAAACATGTTTTTTTTTCACATTTTGAGGTATTGGGAAAGCAACGTTATTTCTCTTTTGTTTCACAGTTTTAATATGTAAATTACATTTCATGTTTCAGACCCAATTCAGGTAATACTTATAAGCGGCAGGTATTCATCAATGAATATTACAATGGCTGCAGTGACGATGTAGGATGGTTCATATTGAAAGATTATGACGCTACACAGGGCTGTTCAAGTTGGGATGTTACTACAGATACGCCATATTGTTACTTCTCTGGAGATTCAACAAATATCAACTGGGAAAGTGGTATGCTATTGGAAACCTTTGTATCTCATAAGGTAGAAAATCAAGATTGACCACACCGAACCTGTTTTTCCTTTAACAAACAGGACTATATAAAAAGGAAAATGATTTGAAAAGCAATGACGAATTTAAATCATCCCTTATTTTTTATGTTATTCCTTATAGACCAACGTTTAGAAATGCTTGTTATGCACACATTATATTCCTATCCTTTACAAATTTGTAATTTGTGAGAACTAACATAGTTTAATTTTTGTCAAGTCTGTAGAATGAATAAAGGCTTCAATTTATGATCGAAAATAGCAAATATGTGATGCAGGATTTATACCCTCTGTCAGGACTGCTTGAAAAACATAACGCTAGGAATTACGCAAACTTAATTTATTGATTTCTGTCAGTTAAAATAACAGTTGTCCATTAACATCATATTGCTTCAGGAACTTTTTGATCATTTATAAGAAAAATAATTAAGCTATACCTTATTACTAAAATTTATATTTTGATTTTTTCTTAGAAAACGTTGCGTTTGTTTTGACTTATTTTTATTGTCGTTTTTATTTTAAGGTAATCGACAGAAAGCTGACTCGTTTGTAGTATCTGTCCTTGGTAAGTATTAAGGTCAAAATCAAGAACTGTATGTACACCCAATACCTTTTGAACTTCATCAGATCGTGTTTTGTTAATGTTTGATTTAATTGTTTGGTTTGTTTTTTACTTTTTAAAAGTCCATTTTATTATAATTATATTCTAGAAAAGTTTACTTATAAAAATACAGATAAATGTAATTTGTTAACATTTTCTGAACTTGTATTCTAGCATGGGATATGGTTTTCAAAGGAGCAGAAGGTGTATTGCCAACTCAAGGATCTCTTGTAAACCTGTGGACGGGTTCAGACTTAGTAAATGACGGCAATGTTGCAGCGCAGTCTCTCACATGGGCTCCAGGATTGGTGTACAAATCTCGGGTTGTAGAGAATTGGGAAAGCTATCCTGGATTCTTTATTGAAAGTGTATGTTATTTTGTTTCGTTGTATTTTAAATTTTGTCATAGTATTGATAAAACTAGAAGCGTGGTATACAGAAATAAGATAGCAACTAAACAATGATAGAAAAAGATACTATACAACTTTTGATTGTATTATTTTGATTGATTATATACTTAACTTAGAATAGTATAAATAATTATCTCGAAAAACAGACTGGAAGCGTGCTTAGGGAGCTACCATTTGATTTTTATGGGGGAGGGGGCTAGGATGAAATTTGAAAAAAAGGCAGGACAGGAGTTTTGGTGGTCATGGTCCAAACCGTTTGATAATTAGGGGAAAAAAACTAGGATTTTCTGGTTTCTGGACAATAACTTGAGTATAAGTCTATTTATTGCTATTTTTAATTGTGCCACAAGGTGTTATACCATAAAATAAAGTTTGGGATTGATTTTAGGGGTTATGACCGTAACAGTTTAGTTAAAAGGGGCCAAAAATAATTATTTTGTATTACTTTGTATGCATTGCTTATTTCTTTAGCAATTTCAATTGGGTTTAATTCAAAGTCTTGAATTCTTGGGGTTCGTTAATATGCTGAATCTTATTGGGTATTTATTATTTAGATTTCGTTTCAGTTTCTGTATTGATCCATATTAAGGTTCAAAGGGTCCAAAATTTGTTTGATTTCTTCAAAAATTGAATTATTGGTGTTCTTTGATATGCTGAATCTAACCATGTATTTAGATTTTTAAATTTGGGGCCTGTTTTCAAATTGGTCCACATTAAGGTCCAAAACTTTGTTTGATTTAAAAAAAATATGAATGGTTGGGGTTCTTTGATATGCTATATCTAAGCGTGTATTTAGATTTTTGATTTTGGGCACAGTATTCAAGTTGGTCCAAATTGGGGTCCAAAATTGAACTTTGTTTGAGTTCATCAAAAATTGAATTATAGGTGCTATTTGATATTCCCAATCCAACAGTGTTTTAGATTTTTATACGACCGCAAAATTTTTTGCGCTCCTATTATGTTATGGCGTTGTCGGCGTACGAAGACATTTTGGTTTGCAGACAATAACTTGAGTATAATTGTATGGATCTCTATGAAATTTTAGCACAAGGTTCCATATCACAAAAGGAAGGTTGGGATTGATTTTTTGGGGTATTGTTATAGCCGTTTTGTAATTAGGGGCCACAAACAAGCATTTTTACTGGTTCATAGAAAAAAAATTGGTTCGCAGACAATAACTTGAGTATAAATGTATGGACTTGTATGAAATTTTAGCACAAGGTTCCATACCACAATAGGAGGGTTGGGATTAATTTTGGGGGTTATTGTTGTAGCTGTTTTGCAATTAAAGGGCCAAGTAGGGGACAACACAATTATTTTTCTGGTTCGCAGACTTTAACTTGAGTAAAAGTGTATGGATCTCTATGAAATTTTAGCAAAATGTTCCATACCACTATAGGAAGGTTGGGATTTATTTTGGGGGTTATTGTCATTGCTATTTAGTAATGAGGGCCAACAAAAACAATTATTTTTTCTGGTTCATAGATAATAACTTGAGTATAAGTGTATGAATCTCTATGAAATTTTACCACAAGGTTCCATACTTCAAAAGGAAGGTTGGGATTGATTTTGAGGGTCATTGCCCAAACTGTGTAGGAATTAGGGGAAAACACTAGGATTTTCTGGTTTCTGGACAATAACTTGAGTATAAGTCTATGGATTGCTATTTTATAGTGCCACAAGATGTTATACCTTAAAAGGAAGGTTGGGATTGATTGTGGGGGATATGGCCCTAACAGTTTAGTTAAAAGGGGCCAAAAACAATACTTTTGTAATACTTTGTATAAATTGCTTATTTCTTGACCAATTTCAATGGAGTTTAATTCAAAGTCTTGAATTCTTGGAGTTCTTTAATATGCCGAATCTAACTGGGTATTTAGAATTTGGATTTTGGGCCCTGTTTATGAATTGATCCATATTAAGGTCCAAAATATTATGCTAAACTTTGTTTGATTTCATCAAAAATTGAATTATTGGTGTTTTTTCATGTGCTTTAGATTTTTTATTATGGGCCCGTTTTTTAAACAGGTCCACATTAGTGTCCCGAATATCCAAAATTAAACTTAGTTTTGATTTTAACAAAAGTTGAATTCTTGGGGTTCTTTGATATGCTGAATCTAAGCATATCATTATTTTTTTTTTATTTTTTAGGCACAGTTTTCAAGTTGGTTCAAATTGGGGTCCAATATTAAACTTTGTTTGATTTTAACAAAAATGAATATATGAGGTTCTTTGATATGCTGAATTTAAGTGGGTATATAGATTTTGGATTTTGGATCCTGTTATCAAATTGGTCCACATTGAGGTCCAAAGGGTCCAAAATTAAAGTTTGTTTGATTTCTTCAAAAAATTGATTCTTGGGATTCTTTAATATGCTGATTCCAACCATGTATTTAGAATGTGGATATTGGACCATAATTGGCAAATGTCCAATTTTAAATTATTTAAGTACTTAGACCACATTCATTCTGTGTCAAAAACTGCTTTATCAAGTATTTAATCAGAATCTAAATTTAGAGCCGTATTGCACAATTAATAGAAATTTTAAGTTGAATCATAGTTAAAAATAGATATAGCATCATATTCTAATATTAGAAATTATGTATAAATATAGAAATATACTGTTCATTATTAGATATTTTGAAAAGAGGTAAGTTTTAAAGATTTTTTAAAGACCTTAATGATGAATGATATTTTCGAAATTGTTTTTTTTTTTTTTTTTTTTTTTTGTAAATTTTTTTAAGAACTTTAATAGAATGTTAAGAATTTATTCAGTTCATGAAAAAAAATTTTCTTCATTTTTTGTAAACCATTATTTTTTTTAATTTTCCGAATCATTTTAAAGGTTTCCCTTACCAAAATATGGACTTGTTTTTTCAGTTTTTTTAGGGGGGGGAGGGGGGAGGGGGTGTACCAATTGTGATTTTTTTTTTAACGAAATGAGATGGGTAGATGAACTATTTCTCCTTGTTGATAGTTTCTTCTATAACAATTATATGCATTTCGAAAATTGTGTATAGATCAACAGAACGGTAGAAATTTCAGATACAAGACTCCGTGTAAGAATTTGCACATGAAAGAATGATTTTTTTAAATATCATTGCAGGTAAAATATGCTTACTACACCTCAGGTTTAGAAGTGGCTTACACAGTTTTTGACGCCAGAAATACCGACAAGAACGGATGGTTTGACATCAGTAACATACTGTATTCGTGTTATAGTGATATTCTGTCATACAGTACTATGGTGGGATCCAGTATTGTAGGGTATTCTTTATTTATGGTTTGACATCAGTAACATACTGCATTCCTGTTATAGAGATATCCTGTCATACAATACTATGGTGGGATCCAGTATTGTAGGGTATTCTTTATTTATGGTTTGATATCAGTAACATACTGCATTCCTGTTATAGTGATATCCTGGCATACAATACAGGGTGGAATCCAGTATTGTAGGATATTCTTTATTTATGGTTTGACATCATTAACATAATGCATTCCTGTTATTGTGATATCTTGTCATACAATGCAGGGTGGGGTCCAGTATTGTAGGGTAATCTTTATTTATGGTTTGACATCAGTAACATACTACATTCCTGTTATAGTGATATCCTGGCATACAATACAGGGTGGAATCCAGTATTGTAGGATATTCTTTATTTATGGTTTTACATCAGTAACATACTGCATTCCTGTTATTGTGATATCTTGTCATACAATACAGGGTGGAATCCAGTATTGTAGGATACTAGTACTTAGTATTCTTTATTTATGGTTTGACATCAGTAACATACTGTATTCGTGTTATAGTGATATCCTGTCATACAATTCTATGATGGGATCCAGTATTTTAGGGTATTCTTTATGTATTGTTTGACATCAGTAACATACTGTATTCCTGTTATAGTGATATCCTGTCATACAATACAGGGTGGGGTCCAGTATTGTAGGGTATTCTTTATTTATGGTTTGACACCAGTAACATACTGTATTCCTGTTATAGTGACATCCTGCCATACAATGCTATGCTGGAATCCAATACTGTAGTGTATTCTTTGTTTATGGTTTGACATCAGTAGCATACTGTATACGTGTTATAGTGATATCCTGTCATACAATACTATGGTGGGATCCAGTATTGTAGGGTATTCTTTATTCATGGTTTGACATCAGTAACATACTGTATTCGTGTTATAGTGACATCCTGTCATACAATACTATTGTGGGCTCCAGAATGATAGGGTATTCTTTATTCATGGTTTGACATCAGTAACATACTGTATTCCTGTTATTGTGATATCCTGTCATACAATACAGGGTGGGATCCAGTATTGTAGGATATTCTTTATTTATGGTTTGACATCAGTAACATACTGTATTCCTGTTATAGTGATATCCTGTCATACAATACAGGATGGGATCCAGTATTGTAGGGTATTCTTTATTTATGGTTTAACACCAGTAACATACTGTTTTCCTGTTATAGAGATATCCTGTCATACAATTCTATGATTGGATCCAGTATTGTAGGGTATTCTTTATTTATGGTTTGACATCAGTAACATACTGTATTCCAGTTATAGTGATATCCTGTCATACAATGCAGGGTGGGATCCAGTATTGTAGGGTATTCTTTATTCATGGTTTGACTTCAGTAACATACTGCATTCGTATTATAGTGATATCCTGTCATACAATACTATGGTGGGATCCAGTATTGTAGGGTAATCTTTATTTATGGTTTGACATCAGTAACATACTGCATTCCTGTTATAGTGATATCCTGTCATACAATACTGTGGTGGGATCCAGTATTGTAGGGTATTCTTTATCATGTTTATTAGTTAAGTCACATATACAAAAATGAAGAAAAAAAAAAAGTCTATCAAACACGCAAAAAGTAATAAGGAATTACATTGGAAATAATTGATAGGATCAACTTTTTCAAAATTTAATGTCCTAAACTCTAGGATGTAGACGTTTTGTTTCTGTTTCTTCTTCTTCATCATTTTTTCATAATTCTATCACTAAACGAAAGTTTTGAAAAATTAAAGGGATGACGTGTATTAAACAATGAGACAGAAACCAAAACAAACAAAACAAAACAAAAAGCAGAGACAAAAGAGGTTAGGCTTGGCGTTAAAAATGCTTTTTTATCTTTAAATGGGACCCACTGTTGTTTTTGTTTTAAGGTGTATCATATTATTTACAAATCTACAATCTTAACCTTGCACCGGTTTAAGACACATACACAAAATGCTGAAAATCTAAATCGTCTCAATTCAAAAGAGCTAATTTATTACTCATTTGCTTTCCAAAAAATCGGGTTTTTTTTTTCTTTTTTTGTTGTTGAATTTGGTCAATTGACTGTGCTTGAACAATTTACTTTAAAAATCTCAAATTTTAAACGCCGTTAGCTCTTTTAGAAAGTTTTTGATATTTTGAATATGTATTTTTAAACGTTTCATTAATGTGGAAATTTTTGTTTGTTACAGCGATGGTACACGAAGTTTTGCTCTTCATAAGGAATGGGGAGGTTGTCCGAATGACAAAGCCTGGATGGAAATTCTAGATGATCCAAACGGGCCCCAACATTGTAGTTGGGACAAGAACGTGAGAACCAGACCATACTTCTTGTATAGTAATACTGGCCAGTGGGCCCTATGCCAGGCCAGTGAGTAAATGTATTCTTTTATCTATTGTATTGGTTTAAAACAAGTAACTCACTATACTAAATGAAAGTAGTCACTATCCTTAACCTTAATTCTATCGTATTGTATGTGAAAGTATTTCTCAGTACTGAATTCATACTATTTATAAGTATTCAATATTATGTTAACATTATTGTGTTTGCCCAAGATCTGCCAACAAGATACAATATAGCAGTTTCTTTAAAAGAGGCAAATTTTCCCTGTATTTGTTTCACTTACGGGGTCAAAATATAAATGTTGTTCAAATCCTACTAATTTTATAGAGGCTTTGTCGTATACCTTACAATGTTTAACAGTTCTATATATTTCAATCAAACTAAATTGTATTTCAGCGTCAAATGTTGGTGTTCAAGGCATTTGAAGAAAAATTGCAAATTTAATATGTTTTTGTAAATTTTCACATCAAAGGACGTCTCTAACCAAAATGAAATATATATATATATATCTTTGAAAGACAATAGATGGCTTTACTTTCAACAGAATTTTGTTTTGGTTAAGAATGTTCTGCTTTTACACTTTTTTTTAGAAATGCCTTAATCTGTCGAATTATAGTATTGAGCCATCATAAAACTGTTTAAATCTGCTGCTGTTCCTGTGCATTTACATCTAAAATTATATTGAAAATATCAATAAGGTAAATATTTATATATTATTTCATGACATACATGTACATTATTTTTGTAGATAATGCATGGAATCAAAACCAGTTTCCGTCTGCCGAGGTGTTGGCTGTATTTGTAAAAGGTACATCGTGAAAATGTTTGAAAATTTAAAGGTTAAAAGTAGCTATATCTCCAAATACATATCTTTAGCAATTCAGGATTTCCTACTTCAATGTCCATAAGAAGATATCTCACAATGTATGACTTGACAGGTAAACAGTTATTTGTAATATCTAATAATTATAGCTCATACAAGATATGTTATGGAACAATTTAATAGGTTTCATTTAATTATACATCGTACACAAAAAAGGGTAACAGTGATTATTCGTACTGAGAAAATAGACGTACAAACACAGTCAAACAAAGACAAAAACTGGTGGGGTTAAATACTTAGTAAGTTTAACGTTCGTAAACCATCCTCGGCCTCGCCTGGCTAGATTATGTCTTATTACAGTACATTAAAAAACTGCACAGTGCTTGCTACTATACAGGAAAGTAGCCAAAAAAGTTGGTTGAATATCGCCGTTCAAGAAAATAAAAAGCCAGAAAAGGATTAAACTATGTCTCATTCAAGCAACAATGAACCAACAGATTCATTTTATCAAATCCTTAACATCTAGGGATCAATGTTTAAGCCTTCAATGCCAGATACTGGCACATAAAACTGCCTGCTTAATACGTTCTAGGATGGAAAATGGTGATGAAAGTTGCTCACGGCCAATCTTTAGGAGGTGCTAGTGGTGTGCACGATTTATGGACTGGCACATACACGATGAATGAAGGTGATTCTAGTGCTTTGTCCTTCAATGCTGGAACGAAAACACTGAAACACTCTATCATTGACAACTGGGGTAACAACTATATATCAGCGGTGAGTTCATTGTTGTGACGTCAATAATCACACATTTGTTAATATAATATAATTGAAAAAGAGGCGTAATTTTTAAAATAATCAATTTTACTGCCCCTTTGAATTTTTCATTCATAAGGTTGCAAAGGTTTTTTCGTTGATATTTTGAGAAACTTTCTGTAGAATGTATGTAGATGTTGTTTATGTTTTAGTGTGCAGGCTAGTTCAATCATTGAATATGTACTAAAATATGTCGGATCCAATTGATCATTTACATAATTAACTGCAGCATACTTTATTTTATTTCGCAAAGGTCTTATTGTACATGTATATTGTTCATCGCTCATACTATCACTGAAAAGTAACTCTCATTTTCAATGGATATTAGTCAAATTGAGATTTTTTATGAAATATCTTAGATATGTTCATTTTCTGTAAATTTTCTGTTTATTAAATGTTGAACTATTGGAAACACTAAGAGATTTTTCTCCACCTAGTCATAAATTGCCTTAGCCGTAAATGGAACAACTTTTCGGAATTTTCGGTTATTTTAATACTCTTCAACTTCGTATTTAATTTACCCTCCAACTATTTTGAGTCGAGCACCACTGGTATTTTGAGTCGAGCACCACTGGTATTTTTTCCCGATTAACTTATTTTACACATTTATAATAAAGCCGAAGTATCATTTTCCCTGTCTTTGGTATCTTCTGGTCATATTTTGGGTTAATTAATGTGATTTTAATAATTTGGAATTCAAATATTTTGGTACGAGTACAATTGATGAGAAATAAATGATAAAAAAAGATGGTGCATCATAACTACCTTTTAAGGAATTTTGTATTATATTTTTGTTACTAGGTCAGAACTTTTGCTGGTTGATTGTGATTCTTTGAGGGAGTTATTTGGTAATGATGAAAATTCTATTGAGAAATGTTAAGTTAAAAGTCACGTATTTCTACTGAACGTAAGCCTACTACACTCTTAGGCAATCAAGATTTATAGACGATTTTGGCTGACCTGTCTGGGTTTTTTTTTTTGGATTTAAGGTTTTTTTTTAAATGTGAACAATTTTCATGAAATTACGTTTTTTTTAATGAAGTAAAGACTATGTCAGAGAGTGGAGGGTGTTTAAAACATTTCTTTTGCCCCACAACTTAAACAAGAGGCTCTCAAGAGCCTGAATCGCTCACCTGTTATTTTTTGCTTAAATCTTTCATCAATGATTATTTTTGCATTTCAATATATATTAATGAGTGGCTTAAAAATACCATTTAAATGTTCTTTGTATCTGTCATATTTTCTTCAAAAGCAAATAAATGCATTATACCCATATGTTCCATTTAGCCAAAGTGGTTATGTTTCTTGACGTACAAGGAAATAAAATACAAAATTTATACTAGATTCATTTGAGAAGATTTCTATGTTAGAAAACATAAACAAATTGTGTAAAATTTGTCCTTAAAGGGCAATAACTCCTTAAGGATTCAATTGACAATTTTGGTCATATCAACTGTTTTGTAGATCTTACTTCACTGAACATTTTTGCTGTTTACAGTTTATCTTTATATTCTATAATATTCAAGATAATAACCAAAAACTGCAAAATTTCCTTAAAATAACCAATTTAGTGGCAGCAACCCAACAATGGGTTGTTCGGTTCGTCTGAAAATTTCAGGGCTGATAGATCTTGACCTATTGAACATTTTTACCCCATGTCAGATTTGCTCTAAATGATGACGACGAGACGACGACGGACGCCAAGTGATGGCATAAGCTCACATGGGGCCCTTCGGGCTCCGGTGACCTAAAAATGTGTTTTTCCACATTCTTATAATTTTAGGACTGTATCACCTGACTATCAATACATTTTGTGCCATTCAATGTTTTAAAATTTATCGCTTTAATCTGATTTGTTAAATGAAACATATACTTATAAGTTTAAAATCAATTACATATACATTTGTATAATAATAAAAATTTACACTCCTTACAAATTTGACTTCATATCATGATTTTGCTAAGACCAAAAATATGGATTAAAAGTAATTTTTTGCAATTTTCTTTATAAAAAGTACATTTCTAAATGAGCCATGTTTAAATATAAAGAAATTCCGATTCTTCAAAACATGAATATTAAAAAAATTGGATTTAATTTTATTGAGCTACCAAAAGCGCTGGAATGGTAGAAGGGTCGATTTGGGTCTATATACAGTCACGGTACCGACTTTACTACACTAGATGCGCATTTCAACAATTAATATCTCTTCGCCGATCCTCTTGGCCAAAATAATTTCCTGTCACATGATCTCGTGTGTTGATGCGAGAAACATCCAAAAACATAGTTATATAATGATTCGTTCTGTGCAGACATACTGCTCTATATCGAAATAATTTATTGAACCGTAAAAACTGGATTGAATCGGGAGATATTACCCGACGAATCAAGTCCTCATTGCAACTGACAAGGCAAACAAACATGCAAAATCCATTTGTTAAAACTAATAAGTACACATGGGGGCTAATCAGGTAACGCTTGCCTTATATTAAAGTATATGCCCTTAATTTTTTCGTGTATTAGTACAGGTAAGTTAACATCAAAGGTCAGAACAGTACATAATTTAATAATTGAAAACAATGTATGCTTACTATCAACTGAATATATATTAGTTTCTCTAACTTGTAAATTGAATTAATAAGTAGGAATCTGTTTCCTGAGCTAGCATTGAGAGTGCATTTTGTTATTCTAACTTTTTCATTATTAAGTTAGAATTATCTTGGGTATCGTTTGGAAGAGAAAATGATTTCTGAATACTCTTTCAGTCATACTATCACAGTCACTGTACGAAATATATGACTTATAATAAAACAAATGTAGAAACAACAACATACCACAACGAACCTAAATAAAACAAGATTGGACAAAATAACAAGAAAAATAAAATAACTAAAACTAAAACAAAAACAAAAAACACAACAACGTTCTAAAGTGAAAAAGAAAATATATAAGACTTATAAAATGGTGTTCATGACAGACGAAATAAAACAATTAAAAGTGACAACAAACTCATAAAAAAACCAGGCACATAATTCGGCACATCAGACACGCGTTTCGTCGGCACACGAGACTCCTCAGTGGCGCTCGAATCAAAACAGTTTAAACGCCAAATCAAATGCGATGTTTGAAGAGTGTTGAAAACAAAAAAAATATCCGGCTTAATCCAAATACGGCTTAGGTTAATTACGCCTGGGGTAAAAAAAAAACCTTAGTGCTTCGAAAAATTTAACATTTTATAAACAGTACAGAAAGTGAATCTGTCAAAGATATTTCATGTCAATACAAATATGCTGACTACTGGGCTTGTGATACAATCGGGGACGAGACGTCCAACAGCGGTGACATCTGCAAAATGGTCTTAAAAATAGATCACTTTCTACATTTTGAAGCCTTACATGTAAATCAGTAGAGTATGCGAATATTGAAAACAAACACGAAATCTTCTTCACACGTCAGCGATTTCGTGTATGTCTTCTACAAATATTATATTAAAACATTATAGGTTAGGATGTCCATGTTTAAAGGTGGTAATGAAGTGGCTTACGTAGTTTTTGATGCCAATGGAGCTGATAAGAACAGCTGGTTTGACAAAAGTAGAATACTATACAGTTCTTTCACTGACCTCAGTCCAGATTCTACAACTAACTTCGCTAGTATTGACGGGTATATTTACATTTATTAGCATTTTATCGTCATGACATGGAACCAATTATAATTAATGACAAAGTGTATTCTTCAGACAGTTTTCCGATGAACAATATGTTCTTAGTTAATTGGTGTTACAACAATGTAAAAACTTACACACAGATTTATATGTTGGTATTGCACAAGGTACAGTTGTTTTACCCGTTTCATGGCGTTTCGCTGTATAGACTCGATTAAAAAGTAGAGCAGCCTATATTAAGGGTGTAAGAATGCTTTATTTCTATATCAACAGTTAACGCTTAGTATTTTAAGCGTCCCTATAGTATCTCCACAATTGACATAGTTTTGGGATACATTCACAGCTTTTTAAGACTCGGGGCGGTAAAGAGCTAACCGTATTGCAATGACACTCGTGCGTTATTACTTACCTTAGTAATTTGAACCCTACTGTCTGAATATCTTTGAATTGCCTGTTTTTGTGTTTGCGTTTGATGTCATCTCACTGACATTTACCCATCTTTTTTCTTTGAATTATTTATTGATTGTTGTCTGTCTGTCTGTCTGTCTGTCTGTTTTCCTTTTCCTTTTGGTTATTGTGTCATTTATCTTTCTTAAACTTATAGCTTTTCATTGTCCCCTTCTTATCTGCACCCTTTTTAATATTTCCAACAACATAATTTAACTTAAAAGAAAACGGTAAAGTATTACACAACAAATAAAGATGAAAACTTTAAAAGTTGATACCGTACTGAAATAAATATGAAATTGAATGTCAACCAGTCGTGTCATAATACTAATGCATTTGTATTTGTGTTTCATTGTAGTGCTTTCTAATTGTAATACTCCTGCTAAGTGTAGCAAGGGCTGGATAAAATTGTTGAGGTTGGTCCCTTAAAAAAGGGGCGAAAGATACCAAAGGAATATTCAAATTCATAAATCAAAAACTGACAAGGCAATGGAAAAAAACGAAAACGATCAAAATACAAACAACAGTACACAAACCACAATATAGACAAATAAATACTGAGCAACACGAATCCCACCAAACACCGGAGGTGATCTAAGGTGCTCCGGGAGGGTATGCAGATCCTGCTCCACATATGGTTGTTCCTTTACTACGGTATCCCTTCTTAAAGTTAAAGTACATTAAAGTTGAAGTCATCCCGTCGAAAGTTTAACGGCCGCCAACATGATTCCGTTGACATATTTTGAATATCTTATTACGATGACAACAGATATGCTCCAATTGTCGTAGCCACAATCCTGTTTTCCTCAGATGTGATATGACCGAGTGATATTTATACTTGTCATTAGCAACACGATGTGTGCCAATAGTGAAACAGGATCTAATGAGATAAGGTTTTTTGTGGGGTTTATTTTTCTCAGACTTTTGTGTAGTGTTTTGTAGGCTGTTGTTTGCCTTATAGTCGTTATTCTTTTTGACCATTGTATTGTCTCTTTTCAAAGTTTATTTCTCTTAAAAGAGTGAGGGATTTCACCCTTTATTCCTCTTATTCATGTGAGTGACTCAATGCCTTGTTCTTCTAAATTGTGAAATGTGATAAAAATTTGGAATTCTTTTACAAAACATATCCAACAAGTATATGGCTTAGTTTTCATGCATTTTTAAAGTGTTTATAAATGTTGATAGGGTATATGTATGAATATATTTGATTTATTGTGTAGGGACTCTGGCATCAATAGAAGATTTTTCTTACAACGAAACTATGGTGGATGTAGCAACGATGCTGGATGGTTTATAGTTGTGGAAGGCGATGCATGTAGCTGGGAGAAACTAAGTGGCACCAAACCTTACTTCTTATACAGTGATGCTTCATCATATGAAAAAGAAGAAGGTATGTGATATATGGAAATACGGATACGTTAAACAAACAAAAAAATACATGCATTTTGCTAATCGTTGTTTACATATTTTTTTTTAAAGAAAGTAAAAAAAAAGTAGTATTGCAATACATAAAAAGGATATACAAAGGACGTGAAGAGAACTATTTGTAATTACTGTCGTTTATTAGAACAAAAATACACGTATCTGTGTTTAAAACGTTTAAACTTGCTGCATTTGTTTACACCTTTCCTAAGCCAGGATGTTGTTCAGTGGTTGTCGTTTGTTGATGTGGTTTATAAGTGTTTCTCGTTTTCTCGCTTTTTATATAGATTAGACCGTTGGTTTTCCTGTTTGAATTGTTTTACACTAGTCATTTTGGGGCCCTTTATAGCTTGCTGTTCGATGTGAGGCAAGGCTCCGTGTTGAAGGCCGTACTTTGACCCATAGTTATTAACTTTTTACACATTATAACTTGGATGGAGTATTGTCTCATTGACACTCATACCACATCTTCTTATTTCTATTGACTTCTTAAATATTTGTATATACAAAATGGATTTACGAGTTTTGAATATCATTTGCCTTATATATATCGGTGTATGGTGTATATATGCAATCACATTCACTAATTATTTCAGACAAATCCCTTTAAGTTTTAAAAACACAATGCTTAAAAACGGTATGAGCATTCGACATTCATTTGCCATTTGATAAGGGACTTTCCGTTTTGGGTTTTCCTTGGAGTTCGGTATTTTTGTTGTTTGGCTTTTTACTTTTATAGAAACACGTTTTGTATTGTAACTTACAAAAATGTTCATTTTATCGTTTATGCTATCACGCGCAGAGTAAAACATAACAATATTTCAGATATGGATATGGCAGAAGTTTTTGCCATAAGCGTTGGTAAGTAGAACTTTTCTCATTCTAAATCGATATCATGGAATATATTATGTGAATTAGTACAAAATAATAATTCTTAAACATTAAACTGAAAGTGCTTAATGGTGTCTTACTGGATTTTGCACAACACCATGATAAATATAAGAACCTAGTATTTTGTTATAAAAGTAGCCATCTTTTTGGGGAATGAACAAACCCTGTCATGTAACCGAAACATTAAAAAGAAACATAGGTTTACACTGTACAGGTACATGCAGTCCACTGGTGTCAGGTAACATAGATATACATGTATGTGCAAACAAAAAGGTCTAAAAATACAGTAAAATAAATAATGAAATATTAATTTCTTATAAAGTTAACCTACACCATGAATTGCTATTGCAAAATTAAGATATATTTTTTAAATGGCAGATGTTCGTCATTTGGATTATAGAGACTCAGGTTGCTGAATGATTGTGCTCGTTAAATGAGTAACATGATATTTAATGTGCTGTTTTATTAAGAAAAAAGGGTTAAAACAGGCTTCTATTTTTTTAATTTTGATATGCCACAATGTTGCGATAATAAAAAATCTAGGAGATTTTTGAAATTTTGGATTCATGTTCTTAGTATTATGTCAAACGAAAAATGGTGACTACATCCCGAGATGTCATTTCCAACTTTTTAATATTCAGAAACTTAAATGAAAGTATTCGCAATGTTATAACAATACAATAACGGGATCAGTAGATTCGGTATTAAATGAATAGAATATCAATATAAATTTGTTTAAGTGTGACATTTGTACAATGAGAAGATTGGTAGCTTTTCTTAATTTTATTGTCTGAAACGTACCTCTAGAATCCCATGTACAGTACTTGCACTTTTTCATACGTTGTAGATATGCAAGATTGTTTGCCAAACCCCTGTTCCAATGGTGGTGTGTGTACAGATGAAGGTCTGACATTTAGTTGCGACTGTACCGGAGACTGGTTTGGAGACACTTGTTCTGACAGTATGTAAAGTCACACAATTTTATAAAGTCATTAACTTTTTACTGGATTTATGTTGGGACCTCATCGTGATTAAATGTGCAGTTTAAGATAGTACACAATTGTAATAATTTATTTATATGGCCTTTTTATAAAAAATATCATTGTAGATATTTTTCCCTGTCTACTATATTAGCAGGCATTATGATAAGCTGTCTATGTGTCGGTCCCATATCAGTTTAATATTTTGGTATGAAGTTGCGGAGATCAGCTTGAAAATTATGGACACGCATTCATTATGATGCGAACTTTAATATATCATACCAAATCAGGTTTTTACCCGGATGTCATGGTTTACCGATCAGGTTATGATTTCAAATGTAATGTTGGTTAAAATTTTGGTTACGGTAAATTTTCATTAAAGTTGTAGTTAATACAAATATTCACCATGATGTGAACTTTTAAAAATTGATGTCAAATTTAAGGTTTTTACACAGAGCATGGAAATGTAATAGTGAGGTCGGGGCATTGTACTTATCTTATGGACACATATTTTTACTACTCTATGTTCTCAGTTTTGGGGAATGGTAATATCATGTTAGCCCAATTTTAGCCCAATTACCTTTAAAAATGTATAAACATGTATCAGTGAGATATTATTTACGAATTTAATAAATGTTTCTTCAAATACAATATTAGTTAAGATACTAGTAGTATACCAAGTGCATTAAGGTCACTCATACTTCAAATTGTGTACAAAGAGTAGTTGATGGCAAAATTTAATTTAATGATTTATTCATTAAATTGAAAACAGTTTTTGAATACAGATATATCCTGGTTAACCTACAACTTAAGTTATTGTATCAGAAAGTGTATTTTAACAGAACTTGCATTGCTTCAAAATTTATTTTCGTTGACGAGGTAACGATAGTGTGTAATTTGTCGAAATATTTGCAAGTTTTGCAAGTTTTGTATAATTTCGAAAATTCAGAGTTACTTTTTTGCCTTTAATGTTTAAATTGATCCTTAAAATTTCTTAAATGACAAAATCTAACCACCATGAAAAGTATAAGAAGGAATGTCTCGGTTATCACAAAATAAATGTTCAAGACGTTGTTTCAATTTTCGTTTGGGACCCAGTAGTTCCATTAATGACGCCTTCTGTTCACGTAATATGGTATAATAGGGTTAAGGAAATGTATTTGAGATTTTCTTTATGTGAACAAAGATTCCGATCCATAATAACGGTATTTTCTTTTCAGAAAATGGCGGATTAACTAGCTGGGGATCATGGGGAAGTTGTTCAACAACATGTGGTGCTGGTTCAATGACAAGAACAAGGTCATGTACCAATCCAGCCCCAGTAGGAGCAGGATCTCAGTGTTCTGGCTCAACGACAGAAACGGGTAGCTGCAACTTAGTAACATGTCCAAGTAAGTATACAAGGTTATCAATCTTGGTGCGATTCTAACCAGGCCGTTGGTTTTCTCTTTTCAATTGAATTGATTATCCTTTTGTTATCCCGTATCTTTTATAGTTAACTATACTGTATAGGTTTTTTTCTCATAATAAAGGCCATACAGTTACCTGTAGTTCTTTACACCCTTGTCGTTTGGTCTTTGATGGATAGTTATCTCATTGGCAAAATGACGTGAATGTAACCCACATAAGTCACCATGTGGTCTACAAACAATGAGATAAACCAAATCTTCATAGCGAGCTATAAAAGACCCCCCCCCCCCCCACATGAAAAAAGTAAAACAATTCAAACACGACAAAAAGAAGACTGGAAAATGCCTATGTATTATACATATACATTGCTACATTTTGTTCAATGGCTTGTCAAATATTTTACTTAAGAAAAATCCTGAAACGTGCATATAATTTTGAACAACCGATTTTATTTCTTTAATTCAAGTAAAATATACACGAAATTGTTGGTTGGAACTTCGAATTAAACGAATGGAAGATTTCGAAAACATTAAGACAAATATTCTTTTGAAAAGTGAAATAATTATGCATGTTCACATTATTTACTACGAATTAAGACATCACATATCAAGCGGTTTCATTTGAGTTTTCATTTTATATCAACGTATTTTTAAGTTCGCAGAATTTTATTTAAAATCAACCTCTCATATAGATCAGTATTGTATGAATGTATTATTATTTCACGTTGTTATATAATGACCAATACATGACATCGGTCGACATCCAAGTTTATGTTATGTATAATTAAAACGGCTTTAAATGATAACTGTTGAAACGGAATATAATTATTTGAAGAATGATTTTGTAAATTTCGCAAAGATTTTAAGTGGAATTAATAATTGAAGAGAATTCTTGCCAAACACTGTCATATTTTAGTAAAAAAAAACATATAAAGAAGCATACAGTTAATTTTAAAATTCCAAACTGAAAGTTAAAAGATATTGGTAAATTACTATTTTGATTTGTAATCCTTGCAAATCAAAGCATGAACAGAACCAGAAGACGATTGTGTAAAGTTACTATTTCCTTATCTTTCATTCTTCACATTTTTAGTCGATGGTAATTGGGGTCAATGGGCTCAGTGGAGTGCTTGTTCGACGACATGTGAAGCAGGGTCAAGGACTCGTTCCAGAGCCTGTAATAACCCAGCAGCACAACACAACGGTCTTGATTGTCAAGGATCAAGTTCGGACAGCGAATCTTGCACCTTAATAGCTAACTGTCCAAGTAAGAAAAAAAGAAAGCTTTTCTGTTTCCCCTTGATTTTCCTATTTTCAATTTTATATATTTACAGGACAAGTAGAATTGATTTTACTGTTTAAAATTGTAAATTGTACGGTTTCAGGTAAAGGCGTTTTTCTTTTATTTCAACCTACCGTCTTTGAAAGAACTAATACATGTGCATTTTTTTTGTGTTCGTTGATTAATTCACGTTCTTGTTCGTTCAGATTGTCAAGTTTGTTCAAGAGAACATGGAGCTCTTTATAAGGAAATGTGTTGCTATTTTACATTGCGAAAATGTTAAGTTAAAACACATATAAACAAAATTATTTAAACTTTATTCTCTTTTAAAATTGTTCAGTTTATATATTGTTCTGTTATTTCATTGAATGTAGACACAAATGCGTATGTTTTTAGTTGATGGTGCATGGGGATCATGGACATCATGGGGAACATGCTCCGTTACATGCGAAACAGGTACATGGACAAGATCAAGGTCATGTAACAATCCAGCAGCACAATACAATGGGCAAGACTGTTCCGGTGCTTCTTCACAGACAACCAGCTGTACACTGCCTATGTGCCCAAGTAAGTGTTAAATAATGTAAAATCAGCGAGTGCTTTACGGGTCACTTAAATATATATTAAGGAAAAACGATAGACCCTTATATTTGAGAAAAGGTACAGTGCACTCAATCTACTTTATATTGGAGAACATTTCAGAGTAATTTTCCAAAGATCGGTGATATACCAAGAAATAACCCGTTTTCCATCACCAACTCTTTAAAATTTGCATTGTAAAATTAGTCAGTAGTCAAATCAATTATTCACTAGATAGAAAAAGGAGTTTCCCATAGATTCCACTACAACGTCCATATTTATTAACTTCCTTTACCTTTTGAATATTCTTCGTTTACGATTCACAAAGTAAGTAAAAACGGTATTAACTTTTCTTTGTTCGTCATTGCATTGACGTAGATATCTGTATTCGCTTAAATCATTGCATGGTGATTATTTCTTATGTATTACGGATTGGTGCGTTATATTTGCGGGCATTAGAGAATATTCTTTTTTGTGCTTGCTCTCGAGCTTTTATTATATTTACACGTTCATTTCAATGGTAGCACATCTATAATATGTTCATAATTTATCATTAATAGGCCGAAAAAAACAACAAAACAACGTTCATGTAATTTAAATTTTGTTCAACATTTTCATAATTTAATGTCTTTTTTGGACTAAATCCTGGTTATTTCAATTATCTTACCTTCTATAGATTTATGGGGATATGATTGGTTAATCGACTACACGTGGTGACCATATATATTTCATATAGGTTAGTTACCATATACGGTTAGCAACCATATGGGGTTAGTAAAGGGTTACTTCCCTTTTATAACAAAAATGACATCTGAAAGGTTTTAAACAGACGAAGAAATTGGTAATAAACGATTGAACTACATTCATAAAACAAATTTAAAAGCTAACACGTTGTTATTGTTGGCATTTGTTTTTTTGTATAGACAAATGGAAGTTGGTTCTTAAACATGTTAAAATTAAGTATTGAAGTCTTTTAAATCACTTTGATAGGCCGCTAGTCTTAATACCACATGGGAAGATAGTCGGTAAGATAAATTCGTTACACGGTGTGCTAGTGACCTAATACGATATATATGGGGTTAGTAAATTCCATATGGGGATTCGAGCTTCGCTCTCACCCCATATGGAATTTACTGACCCCATGTATATCGTATTAGGTCACAAACACACCATGTAACTGATAATATAGGACTCGCAGGTGCGATGGGGACGCTGAAGTGCGATGGTCCGTTCGCTGAAGTGCGATGGTCTATATTATGCTTAATGGCTAGTTTAAAATCTACAGATGTTCAATTATTATGAGAAGTAGATTTTTTAATGGTTATTAGATACATTTACATTCGTTGTTGTCTATGTATATCCTTAGTTACAGTCGCATACTAATCTTTGACTTGTTTGCATGTGGGCATAATGCTGCGTTAATAATTTATCTTCACTTTGTTCCTCTCGTGAGTTTCTCGTTTACCGTAATATTATAATACGAGTCTGTCTGCTGATCCGTGTATATTAAGAGAATGCCTCGCTCTATCGTACATAAAAAATAGAACCTTTTGTAGATTTCGAAAAAAAATCCGCGACAGAAGGTTTACCTTTCCATCTCCACCAATCACTCTCCGTTTCCCATAGTATTAAAAGTTTATAAGCTCCTTATTAACTTAAAACCCCGAAAACTGCTTCTAACAAACAAATTGACTTCTTCATCGACATGAAAAGCATTGAAAATATAGTTTGTGTAGTCCATCGCACTTCAACGTTCCCACCAACGCACTTCAGCGTAGCTATCAACAAGATAGCGTCACAATGCCACCATCGCACTTCAGCGTGACCATCGTGGTTCGGAGTACCATCGTGGTTCAGAGTCCTACATGTAAATGTCTGTTTCTTATTATAAAAAATTCTCAATGGCAAATAAAATATTCCTTTTTATAGTTGACGGTGTATGGGCTAACTGGGGAAGTTGGGGAACATGTTCCGTAACCTGTGAAACTGGTACATGGACAAGGTCGAGGACTTGCACAAATCCAGCCCCTCAATATAATGGTGCAGATTGTTCAGGCAGTAGCGGGTCAACCGGTACCTGCACGTTGCCAATGTGTCCAAGTAAGTAAAGTATCGTTAAAATCTGTTCAGATACACTTATTGTATGCATGACAATCATATCATGATTTTTTTTCAGTTGTTAAATAAAATAATGAAGACTGAAACTTAAGCAAAAGAATGCGAATAAAATTGATAACGTGCTGGAAGTTTTGATAATGTTACTAAATATTTTGAAATATAATGTAAAAAAATCAAATGTTAACCTGTGGTTTTATGAAAGAATGATAAGACAGTCACAGTTTAATTATTTGAAGGTTATATATAATTAGTTTAATTGAGTTATTTGAACAAGCTGTGGTACATGAATGCAAATTCTTCAATTCAATTCTTGAACTACATGTAGTAAGAGATTATGAGGACGCAATTGGTACAATTCTAGATTGTCAAAACTAAATAAAAAAAGGGTTTCGAATTGATGTCAAAGACGACAAGGCAATTTTGTACACTCTAATGTGTCCAAATGCTCTTTAAAGACCATGCTTGGTTATGTATAACATTATCATTAAACATCATGGCTTACAGACATTATATTATGATGGGGTTACGTTTGTTTTCAGTTGACGGTGCATGGACAAGTTGGTCAAACTGGGGATCATGTACAGTTTCATGTGGCGGTGGCAGCCAAGTCAGGACGAGAACGTGTACAAATCCAGCAGCACAGTATGGCGGTGCTGATTGCGCAGGTGTTGGATCCGCATCTCAGCAATGTAACAGTCAAGCCTGCATAAGTAAGTTTGTGACAATGTTTTAGTTTATTTTTTAATATATATTTCTTTAGATCATTATCAATCTTACAGTTTTTGAAATTATTGGATTTTTTTTCACACAAAGAGAAAATTTTATCAGAAGATGCACATACATGGAATGAATGACCGTAAATACATTTCATCTTTCAGTTGATGGGAACTGGTCTGCATGGGGAGCCTGGGGCAGTTGTTCTGTGACTTGTGGTGGAGGACAGTATTCTAAGACACGAGCTTGTTCTGACCCAGCTCCGGCTAACGGTGGTCTGGACTGTTCCGGTGACTCCAGTGACTATGGTTCTTGTAATTCGGCGGCCTGTCCTACAGCAGCTGCAGGTGTTTACGTACAGGTAAATCTATTGTAGATTTCCGATGGCTGTTCGCAAAAGATTATAAATCGATAATTTCCTCAGTCGTATAAAAAAATCATTACATTTACGTGGATCTTAACACAATTAATAATATGTGTCCAAATGTTGGAAAAATATTTGCAAACAATTGAAAAGAATTATGAAATGCATTCACTTGGCAATAAAATAAAAAAAAAATTAAAAAAAGATATATTTTGAGGGTACAGTTTTGATTGCGTTCAAATCTTATTTTGGTATTTCTTTTCTTTTCTTACTTCCATGTTTACACTATGAGTCATACACATATGTTTTTTTTTCTAAATGATCATTTGTTTTACAACGATGGCCCAGAAAAATGATTTCACACTTCTTTGTCTACATTTATTTGTGTCTTCACATTGCTGGATTTTAAGCATTCTTGCTAAGATATTCTTGACCTGTTAAATATCCAGAATGAATATGCAAAATTAACTTTTCATCTTCAGTTTTTCTCGTGTAATATCGGGGTTATTAAAACAATGTAATTCGCTAAGAACCTCGATAGGCATTTAAAAAGAATTTATTCTCAAGCTGGACGAATTATGGCAACAGTAATTAACCAATGATCAAATCTAGTAAACCATTTAGCATATGCAATCAAGATAGAAAAAACACATCCGAAGAAATAGCATTAACTCCAAACGGAGTGAGACCGAGTGTGTCGACAGCGTGAGTGTCTCCTTCTATGCATGCATAGCCCGCCATGCGAATCCACACTCATTCAATATGTCACAATATAGGGAATAGGACAATTTTTAAAAATTTCCAAATCATATGCCGAATAGAATTTAGAGACCCTAGATCGCAAAAACTACTCGTTTTTCGAGTTGAGACACGGATACGTGATGGTGATCATAAAACTTTAAGGTTTATTAGTAAATGAAGTCTGAATAATGTGAACAGGAACGCGCGTGTCGAATTAATTGAGCCGATGATACGAAAACACCTTACAACTGGGCGGGTAGAAAGAAGGTTATCAAAAATAGATAGTTGCATGGCTATGAAATCGTCACGTTTGTCAGAGACGTCAATCTCTGTCAATATCAAGAATGATAACATCCACAGTACAATTTTTTTATTCTGCGCATTTCGACAATAAATGTCTTTTCAGTTATGCTCGAGGTCAAACTATTTGAAAATCCAAAGCTTATGAACAAAATATCCAGATAGAAGCAGACCTGATAGTATTTCTTAATTCAAGTTCACTGGTATATATATAATGCTAGAGCTCACTGAAATATGGGTAATTGAATGACGGTTCGTCGTCAATGATATTCTTAGAATCTGAAGTGAAATTAATGATCCCATTCATGTTTCATGATATTTTAGGTGAAGTTTCCAACCATTTAATTCCATCTGAATCTGTATATCTATCAAAACGATTTCCCCATAAATGATTTGTTGCGTTTTATAAAATGTTTTCATTTTCATTTCTTGTTTGAGGAGTATGACCGCTAGAAATCATCCCTGAGTGAATGATTCTGTGTTTCAATTTTTCTTCAAAAATGCCTGTTAAGTATCTGCGTTACTTATAATAATATAATTTCCAAATGGGAAAAGTTAAACGTAAAAAGAAATGTAGAGTTAACAAATGAAAGAATGAAATACCTGGATATCTCAGTCATCCAAGGGTTTGATTTCCTATGTGACGATGCAGATCACTGGAATCGTCCATGGAGGTATTTGCGATTTTCAAGCCTTACAATTTTTGCTTTGCTTGATTCTAATCTAACCTTTTCAACGGAAAATGGATTAAAGCTCCCGAGAAATGTGTCAAGTTCGTTGTTTCTCCCATGAGCTGTGTGAAACATAAAAATTTCAGTCCATAAAAACCACACAACAGTAAACCGACAACATGATGAGAGATATAACAGATAATTGACTTACAAAAGTAAATCTTTAACACCAGATTGATAAGATTATATAAGTCTCACAGAAATACAAATGTATGTCATTTCACAGACCACAAGAATCTTGTCCATAAATTCTAAACTAGAACAATAATTGGTGTAAAATTATTTTCTAGCTTTGTCCAGCTGGATGGTTTACCTGTGAAAAGGGCGGGACATCTTGTATTGATGCATCCTTTGTATGCGATTGTGAGAATGACTGTGATGATGGAAGTGATGAAACAACTAGCTACTCAGGATGTGATCCTTTAATTCTAGCTGCATGTCCTAGTGCTGCACCTTGTAAGTCCAACTGTTTCACAATGTATCATTTACAAACTTTGAGTAATCCTTTAGGAACAGACATATTCCGATTAAGGTTTAATGAATTTTATAAAGCGCTTCCTGAAATTTATAAAATCGTCTTAATGCTTGATTAGGAATGAGAATTACACTATAAGAAAATAATTCCATATTTCTTAATCGTTTCCTCAACTCCAGTTTAGTCTATTCCTCCCCTAATCATTCTTTACAATAAACAAGTTATAGAAAGTAAATGTAAAATATTTGCTGGATATGAACTACTAAACATTTTTACTTGTCAAATATTAGAAGGAAAGCTCATATTTTAGATCTTTTTTTTTTTATCTGAAAGCAATTATCAATTAGGTAGATCATTACAATACAAATGTAATTAAATATTTTCAGCTGAATTTAACGATGAATGACTTTTTTAAAAGTTTGAATGTTATAATCTTAAATGTGCTCATATAACTGCATTCGTGGAAATGAATCTTGTGTTTGTAATTTTCAGCGCAAATGATGACCTCCCCTGTCATACTGCTGTTCTGCCTGGTGACTTCAATGGCGTTTTTCATCCTCAGGAAATATTAAGGAAAACGATGATCGTTTCTTTTATGTGAACTCATGAATTTGTATGTCTTATCTAATGATATGTTGAAACATTTATATTTAACTATATTATTTATTTTATTAACATTTTATACTGTTTTACACATATATCGTTGAATACCTTTTTTTGTGATATTCATTTACTATCTTAATTCATTTCTAATAAAGCGATCTTGTATGGCAATTATCTTGAATCTACTTCATCGGTACTTCATTTATAAAATATGATAAATATAAAAATAAAAGATGTGGTATGATTTCCAATGAGACTCTCCACAAGTGACCAAATGACATAGAAGATAACAACTATAGGTCACCGTACGGCCTTCAACAATGAGTTAAATGCATATCGCATAGTCAGCTATAAAAGGCCCCTAAATGACAAATGTAAAACAATTCAAACGAGATATTAAAAAGGTTAAACATTGATATTGAAAAATCAGTCCCAAATATATATTGACAAGATGAAGCTAAACCTGCATGTCGATTAAAACTGAAAGTATCCATATTAATGACATACTTATTTTGATTTTCAGTTCATTTAATTCTACAAAGTGAACAAAAAAATATTACAAGTGACAAGCAATCAAAACTTAAAGTATATGCCAGTCGTTTAAAAACAAATGCGTGTAAATCTTACTGTTTCGGTATGATTATCATAATACTCCAAGTTTAAGGGTTTCAATATTATGTTGATAAAAATTTATATAACAAGGTACACTTTGTGACTTTTAAGGAAACTCAAACGACAAAAAACTGAAACCATTTCCCATCAGATAATACATCAAATTTGATAAGTACCGGATCGTTTAAAATTGACGATACTGCACAAACAGGCACAATAATAAAAGTCTAAAGATTGATTCAGCGATACTGACAAAAGATAATAAACGAACACTATAAAATACTAGTATCGCGTTATCAAATATTTCGGCACAACACACGACCATTGTCAGTGTAAATCTTTATTTCAAAATTAAATGCAATAATACAATGTGTTAAAAGGGTCTACTCATACATGTAACCTTTATCTTAATCTGTAATCATACATTTCATAGACTGCCAACAGTCGGACCACATCATCGATGACTTTAACAGCATGAAGTTCTAGTGAGTGTAAAGAACACTTATATTGCAACGATACCCAGCGGGAGGATCGTAGACGATTTTTGATAAAGGAACCTAATGCGTTTCATCCAATTAAACAGAAAGAAATAGCAATTTCTGTTTTTAAATATGTTGATCAGTTATCATTTTAGATGTATGTATATATAAATGCATGTACTACTACTACCTCTTGGCATTTTGGCATTGTCTTAACTACATGTACGCATTTACGCCTTCGAAGTATTAAGTTTTCAATTGCTTTGCCGATGAAGTGTAGGATTACGGATTAAAATATGAAGTAACCTATACTTGAGTCCAAGAAAAAAACAAACCTCATACTAGTTTTTTGTGAAAAAAAATCTCACAATATGTCAAAATCTGTTCATAATAGTAGTTTTGAGCCATCTTAAATCATCTATAATTGTGTTACATCTTTAACAATACGACATAATGATGTTCCAGCTTCAAAGTAACATACATTAATAAATAAACATAAATGTGATATTGTAAAATTTAAAAAAAAGATTAAAATGCCTAGTGTCAAATAAATTCATGGAAAATTGGTCCTGCTTCAAGTTTACACTGAATGAGGACACATAAACATCCGTCTCAAAACGAATAAGCGTACGCGGGACATGAAAAGTGATGGGGCCAAAATTTGTTAAACGTAACAAAACATTTTGATGAGCAATAAAAAGGAGATGCTCCATATCACACGATAGGTTTTTATTTTAATAAATTTTAGGGATTATCAATATAATATATATAGTATCTTCGACTTTAATATTAATAAGAAGATATGGTATGAGTGCCAATGAGACAACTCTCTATCCAAGTCACAATGTATAAAAAGTTAACAATTATAGGTGAAAGTACTGCCTTCAACACGGAGCTTTCGCTAAACTTACTTTTAAACATTAAATGGTTAACAGTTTGGTTGGAGCAAAACTGTATTCTCGCTCACGGGAGGAGTATAAACTTTATTTGAACTGATTTTCTAGTTAATGAGTGACAAACACAGCATAATTCTCCAGTTTATGCGAAAACGGGATATTCTTAAGGTTATGAAACGATTTTCCTCGATAGACAAGAGCCGACACAATATGTCAAGTTGTAAACTGTTGCAAGTCTTGATGAGTTGTGAATAAATGTTAAAGAGAAAATCAAACTTTTGCTATCAATACCAAAATATTATAAATGTCAATTACATTAAGATATACACCACAAGAATACCACTGACGAGGATCCTAGACTTGGTACATGTGCATGAACATTTTGTGGATTTATCATCTAAACTTTGTTTGAGTACAAAAACATTATTGCGTTTATTATTACATACTCTTACGGGTGTGACAATGGGAGAAGGATCTACTTACTCTTTCGGAGCACCACGTTTTGGTTGGGTTCTTGTGCTCAGTCTTTAGGTTTCTATGTTGTGTGTTGTAGGCTGTGCTTGTCTTGTCTTCATTACGATGTCAATTTGTATTTGACTTATGAGTTTGAATACTCCTTTGGTATCGTCTGCCCCTTTTTCGTAATAATGAATGAAATGTATAAAGCATTGTGTCATCAATGTAGCTTACAATTATAAAAGTCTTAAAAGGAGACGGACACTAAATTAGAATGATATTGAATTCATAATGTATTTCTTATCCAAACAGTACTACCGGTTAATGAATAGCAGAAGCAATTACTTTTTCGTACATTCTTCGAACGAATCTTTAAACGCAAGTCTGCTACCATTATTCTCATATTTGTGACGTCACTTCCTCTGTATCGGTTTCATTCACATCTGTACAAAAATAACATACATATTCAACAAGTCGAATAAGAAAAAAAAAGAACCGCATGGAACTTTCATGGACAGTGAATTAGATGAATATGTTTTATAACTTCGAACCAGAATATAAGTAGGAGACAATTTAAAAAAAAAGTCTTTATTCCGTCACCGAGTAAGAATCATAGTAATCAGCTGATCGAATCCTAACTTTGAAAGAATGGCACGATTGTTAAAATTACCAGATGATACCGACAGCAGAATATATTTGTATTGCAGAATTTACAATGGTATCTATCTTAAGTTAAACAATTATCAATGTATTACAAAACTTGATATTTACAGAAATCTGATTTTAACACCAATAATACAGACACGTAAACCTGAAAGGGGACCCTTAGATATCGAAGTTCCACAAAATGGCGATAAATTCAAAATTAATACTTTATTTCTTAACTTTACTCGGCTGACCAATGGTTGATTAAATACGCTTCATTTTGGTTCTGCTGGATAGTCATCGTATTGGCAATCATAAACATGTAATTATTCTATATTGCTTTAAACCTATCGTTTAGACAGATTTATTGATACAAACTATGTTATTATTTCTATTTATTATTCTCCTATGTGGATTATAAGTTGAAAAATGAGCGATTTAACGGGATAAAAAACTACATGTCTAAGGCATCGAAAACCAAAGGGCGATAACATCTCCTGTTCTAATGTACATCTGATTTACTTATTTATTACATTATCGTATCAAGCAGGTGTATATATCTTTATTGTTTGATATGCATTTCTTTTACTGTAATGGTTAAATTTAGTCATTCTTCATACATGAAAATAGATCATTAACATCTATATTCAATTTACTCAATTTTCATATGTAAATTTAAAGTCATTTAGTTATAAATATGCATCTCGTTCTGAATTAGAATTCGTATTCTGAATTGGCGGTTCAAGACTTACAAATGTGCGAGTAGTTTTTATCATAGGATTTTTGTGTGTGAAAAAATGACCATTTCGATCTTAAATGTGTAAATAATTGAAAGACAAAATTTCATTTCAAAAGTTTGTTCAGGTAAATGGCACTATCCTAACTGAAGTAAAGTCCGAAAAACTTACAGATTATATAAGCTTTTTCATAACAGTTTTTCCTGCAAAACACCTTTTTTGTGTTATCTTTATTGCTATAACAAATATTAATCAATCTTCATGCAATATAAAACAAATGATTTTACGGCATAAATTATTCATGAATTTGATCTCAAAACAAGCCTCAAGCTACAAATCTCGAAAGAAATGAGAATCATAAACGAACGCGATTCAATAAATAATTTATATGGAATATCGAATGTTTGATTTCTTCTTTTTTCGTAGAGACAAAACAATAGAAAAGTGGTAATTAATTTATAAAAGTCAGGTATTAAATAATCAATATGAAATAAGGGTTACACGAGAGCACACTTAAATTCCATCAGCGTTTTGATCTAAGGTAAGACTATATATCTTATATTAGGTTTGTTTTTCTTCAGTAACTTATTTTAGGGATGCAGTTAACTGATGGGGTTATTTTAAGAAATAAAATTCAAAAGAAAATAAATTGTTTTATCTTTATTTTTCTGTGAAAGTGTTTTATTTATGTTGTTCGTCTATTTGGCCTGTTTTGTTAATATGTTGTTAGTTTTGATTGGATTCGTGATTTCTGATTGACCCCTTTAGTATTTTATCTCCTTTTAAAAATTTTCCTGGAGTTCCGCGGAAGGCGGAAGATACTATATTGACAATCAAATTCATGAGTCGAAGAGAAATTCGAAGACGACAAAAAGAAAAACAACTGTCTGCAAAATACGACATAGAAAACGAAAGATTGTGCAGCAAGAACCCATAAAAACCGTGATTATCTCATGTGCTCTCGAAAGATGAGCAAACCCTGCCGCACATGTGGCCCCAGTTGTGTTCCTCGTTATAAGTACAAATCCGAATATGTCACAATTGAGGAAAAAAACCGGGATTGTGGCTACCACAAACGAAACTTATCCGAGGTCATTTGTGACATAGATACGTGTTTATATTCCATACCTGCCGACCTAATCATGATGGCGTTCGTAAGGAATGACTTCAACCTTTACCTTAAAACTTACAATTAATGAAGCCCGAGATGTTTTCTGCTTTTTTGCGAGTTTAATTGAGA